TTTACCTGCCGAGGGCTGGCCGTGGGCACACCTGAGCCCTTTACCTGGCGAGGGCTGGCCGTGGGCACACCTGAGCCCTTTACCTGCCGAGGGCTGGCCGTGGGCACACCTGAGCCCTGCCGAGGGCTGGCTCCGGGAAGCCAAGCCTTGTTTTGAGGAGGAGACCTGGGTGTGTGTTTTGCCCTTCAGGGGAATCAAACAGGTTTCTCCGTTCGGTCGGCACGGCCTCCCCTCCCTGCGAGCTCTCCTCTGCATTCCTGGCATTCTCCGGCAAACGCCGTGTTCCCCAGCCCTGGGGTCCGATGGGACAGCAGAGGGGAGCCCCCCAGCTCTTATCCCACCTAATTTCCATTCAGGATAAGCATTTCCAGCCAGGCTTGTCGCCCAGGAAGGGGGAGTAGGGACCCCTCTGCTACTCAGGTTCCCGGAGTCCGGGAGCCGCTTCCAGCGGTGGTACCCAGGGAGCATCAGGGACGGGGGCTGTAATTAGCCCTCAGCAGTGATTGTGTAGTTCTGTCTCATTAAATGAGGCACCCAGGGGTGATTATCACTGAGGAAATTGCCAGGTGTTCTGCTCTCCCTCCCTTTCTTTCCCTTTCTAATTGCTCTGGTCACCACAAGGTCCCCGAGGCCCAGCTTTGGTGGCTCCGGGCACAGCTGGACCTGTGGACACACTTGTTGCCAATTCCTAAGGACTGGAAGTTGGGGATTGAGTTTAGAGCCCTCCTGAGAGGTCAGGGCTCCAGCCTGGGAGGGTCACAGGGGAGTAAGAATCACAGGATCATGGAATGGTTTGGGTTGGAAGGACCTTAAAGCTCATCCAGTCCAACCCCCTGCCATGGGCAGGGACACCTTCCACTAGCCCAGGTTACTCCAACCTGGCCTTGGACACTTCCAGGGATCCAGGGGCAGCCACAGCTTCTCTGGGCAACCTGTGCCAGGGCCTCCCCACCCTCCCAGCCCAGAATTCTCCTCAATATCCCATCTAACCCTGCTCTCTGGCACTGGGAAGTGATTCCCCCTTGTCCTGTTTCTCCATCCCTTGTCCCCAGTCCCTCTCCAGCTCTCCTGGAGCCCCTTTAGTCCCTGCAAGGGGCTCTCAGGTCTCCCTGGAGCCTTCTCTTCTCCTTCACAGTGGGAAAAAAAACCCACTCCTTGGACCCTGGGGTGTTCCTCCTCATGCTTGAGGACCTTCTGTACCTGCAAGGCTGGCCAGGCCAGGTGATGAGTCACCATTATTTCAGGAAAGAACATGGACAAACCTTCAGCAAACGATGGCATGACTCAGGGGTTGCTCAAAATAAAGCTGCACTGTCAGCTGGAGCTGTGGAACAGAGGATGCTTTACCCAGGAAGGGTCTGGGCTGAATTTTAACCATCTGAGCTGGACACCCCTGAACCCTCTCTGAGCTCAGGGTGTGGCTTGCTGAATATTCCGGCTTCTCTCCTGCTTATCTCAGCTGGGATCACCTGGAACAAAGCTCAGCTGAGCTTGGCTGCTGCTGCTGCTGCTGCTGCAGCCTTAGATCAGAGAGGGAGATCTGGGGCTGGAGAAACACCTTAAAGCCTGAAAATCCCTGATGTCATCGTGGTTGTGCTGCTGGGAGCCAGCGGTGGATTATGGGCCCTGTTATGGCACATCCCGATTTGGGATTGGATGTTTGCCCATCATCCCACAGCAGAGCTGTGAGGAGAGGGCAGGAGCTGTTCTTCCCAGTTGTTCCTGCCTCAGCATTACTTGTGCTTGGGTCATGGGGCAGGGAAAGTGTGTCCTCATGGGTGCTGAGGGGTCCTGGAAGGTGCTTGGTTGGGGCTTCATCACCTGCTTTTAGAGCAGGTCCAGAGGAGGCCCCGGAGATGCTCCAGGGCTGGAGCCCCTCTGCTCTGGAGCCAGGCTGGGAGAGCTGGGGGGGTTCACTGGGAGAAGAGAAGGCTCCAGGGAGAGCTGAGAGCCCCTTGCAGGGACTAAAGGGGCTCCAGGAGAGCTGGAGAGGGACTGGGGACAAGGGATGGAGGGACAGGACAAGGGGAAATGGCTTCCCACTGCCAGAGGATTAGATGGGATATTGGGAAGGAATTGCTGGCTGTGAGGGTGTGAGGTCCTGGCACAGGTTTCCCAGAGCAGCTGTGGCTGCCCCTGGATCCCTGGAAGTGTCCAAGGCCAGATTGGAGGGGGCTTGGAGCAACCTGGGCTAGTGGGATGTGTCCCTGCCCATGGCAGGAGTGGGACTGGATGAGCTTTAAGGTCCTTCCAACCCAACCCAACCCACTCTGGGGTCCTGTGAGTTGTGAGCTGCAGGCCTGGGGAGGGGCAGCACCACACCATGTCCGTGGTCCCTCTGGAGCTGAGGCTTCTCCAAGGACATCACTCTGCCATGGCAACACCTGCCTGGGATGGAAGGTACCAGCTTCTCCCTGCAGTTAAACCTGGGACTGATCCAGCAGCTCCACTGGTCTCTGTCCCACCTGCCCTGAAGCAGTGCCACCTTCACTTCAGGGCACTTCCTCACCACTTCTTCACTTCTTCATCATGTCCCTACATCACAGCACCCTCATCACATGGCCACCAAACACCACTTCCAGAGGGAAGGGTGGAGCAGGGAAGCTCTTCCAGCCGTGCCTGTGGCTAAACAGGAGCAGAGAAGTGGATGCTCCAAGGCCAGCACGAAAATCATGGACCTCTCAGGATATGGGCTTCCCAAATAAGAGCTGGAAAGAGAGAAAGCACCTTAAAAAGTCTGGAAGCCTCAAGAACTGTTGCCTTCCAGGACTGGTGGGACATGGAATGGGACTTTATATCTTTCTCACATGGATTAGGGCAACAGCAGAGGGTCAGAGAGATCAGATCCCACGGAATATACAGTAAATGTGATATATGTGAGTGTACAATTACAGTCAGGTGCACCACAGCTTTATCCTTTATTTCCCACTGAGGGAAGTGGGATAGGAACACGCAAATTTTTTTCCCCTTCTTCATTTTTCCCCCTGTGGAAAAGGCTTTTCATCCTCTTTGCCCAGTAGAAAGTAGCCATGGCCACCCCCTGCAGGCAGCTCACCTTGAACTGGGGGGTTCCAGGGACCTCCCAGACCCCTCAACCTACACACAAAGCTCAGAAAGCACCTCCCTGGTGCTCAGCAGCTTCAACAGGGAGGGACAATCCATCCCAAACGAGGGGTTTTTTGTGGATTTATCCCATGTAAGCTGTTGGATGTCACTCACCCCGGCAGGCACAGAAACCCTGATGGGGGTTTTTCCTCCTCATAATTAAGGGAGCAGATCCTGTTTTTAATAACATGGCATTTCAAAGTCCCTGCAGTGGCCAGAGGCAGGAGTTTCCTGCCAACCAGGGACATCTGGAAGAGCTGCTGGAATAGCACAGCCAGGTCACCTCAAAACAGAGGCTAAAAGGTGTCCAGGAAGGCTGGAGGGAAAAGCAATTCACTTTGGGCACTTAACTGAGAGAATCAGAGCAGGAACATCATCTCTCCAGCTTCTCCAAGAGCCTTCGGGATAAAGACTCCAGATTTATGTTAGAGAGCCACTCAATATGCAGAGAGTGTGAGTTAAATACTGACAAATTCATGATGCTTTGGGGCAAAGGCACCAAACTCAGTCTCAAAATTGTCCAGAGAGTTATTTCTCCGATTTTAGGTAACAACTGGCAGCCCCAGCCTCACCTGGACACAGCACAGGTGACCTGCACAGCTCTGGAGCAAACCCTGAAGCCAGCAACACACAAAAAAATCCTTTAAAAATCAGTGCTGGGCAGAACCCAAGAGGGGCAGGTAAAGCTGCCATCCAGGTGTGCCAGAGAGCCCAGCCCAGAGCAGCAGGAATGTCCCATCCCTCTGTTTCACCACCACAACCTTCTCCAGGGACACAAACACACACCCTGGAGCAGGGCAGGAGGGAGGAGCAGGAAAAAAGAGCCTTTCCCCCCATTTCCACTGAAAAACACTGTTGGCTTTAAGAGCTGTAGGTAAATTCCAGCCTGGAATATCTGATTTTACCAGGAAACGGATTCTCCTGGGATCTCCTCTACAAGAAGAGCAGAAACCCCCCTCTCTCCCAGAGATGTCCCACAGCTGGCACTGGTTGATCCTTGTTTCCCTGCTGTTCACCTGCCTCCCTTGTGTCCTCACTTGGGATCAGCCAGACGTGGGAATGACATCACACGAGGAAGCTGCAGCCACAGAAACTACTCCTGGGGTGGAGAGAAAGCCTGAGAGGAGAAGATTTAAAGGACTCAGAGCATTTAGGTCAGAAAAATAATGTCAAGGAAGAAGCAGGAGTGACATGAGGAGCACTGCCAGAAACAGGGAGTTCAAACCAGCCTGTGTTGAACCCTCCAGTTCGTTCCTTTCCAGAGGTGCAGCCCAAACACCTTCAGAAACAGGGATGTCTATGAGGAACTCTGGGAATCCAACAGGCAGTTCTATGGGAAGGTGTTTTTGCCAAGGAATGCTTGTCACCCCCACGACAGCAGTGCCTCCTGTCCCCAGCCTCCCTCCCCAGTGTAGCCTGGAGTTGAAGAGTTGCTAAAATATGTAGTTCAATTTTTTTTTTTCCTTTTTTAGTATGACAAATTCCCCAGCCTCACTCCAGAGCACTGGGCTGCACTGGAGCAGCATTTCCTGCTTTTTTTTTCCTGCCCTGGAACTCCCCAGCCTTGCCCCTTGCAGGTGAGTAACCCATCAGTCCTGTGGCCTTTGCAGAGGTGACACCAAAGCCAAGCCTCAGCAGAGGATCACCGGGTGAGTGGAAGGGTGTCAAACCACTACACCCATCTGTTACAAGGGAATCCAACTGGTTTTTCATGAGGTGTCATTCCAAAGCGCTGCCAGGACGCCAGACCTCACCTTCCTAATAGCAGGGAGCAGAGCAGAACCCTCTCCCCCGGATTATTCCCTGCTGGAATACAACGATCTGCCCCCTGCTCCCGCAGACACGGCTGCACAGGAGGGCAGGAGCAAACCAGCACCGAGACAAAAGGGTCTGCTCAGCAAACACAGGGCACAGGAGAGGCCATGGCAAGTGCCAGCTGAGCCAGGGCTGAGCCAGGGACACAAAACTGTGCCATGAGGGAGCAGCAGCAGCAGCACCTCCACCGTGCCCTGTTGCAAGCAGGGAGATGCTCATTTCTTTCCCATCACCAGCTCAGCAGCTCCCTCAGGGCCCCCAGGCAAAGGAGCTGCTTTCCCTCTGCCTAATAAGGCCCAGGTTGTACCACCCTCACACCCGTGGGCCTGGCACCTTCCCGGGGCTTGCACAAGCACCAGCGAAACTCGGGAAGGAATTCTCTGGGAGCAGAGTCCAGCCCACTCCTGCCGTGGCTCCGCGGTGCTGGGAGGTGTGGGAACACCCCAGTGCCTGCTGCTGCCTGCACGTTGGGGTAACAGAGACAGGGATCTGCAGAGCCAACAGAAATCCCCTTCCACAGCTTCCCAAAAGGCTGTTGGAGCACTGGAACATGTCATGGATCCCTGTGCTGAGCTCCCGCGGGATGCAAAGATCCTCCACCCAAACCTCCGTGCCCCCCTCCATGCCCTGCCAGGGGGGGTGGAATCACTACACGTTGTTTTGGAGACCAAGGAAATTTGTTGTTGTCACTGCCCTCAAAGTTTACATTCCTGTAACAGCACCAGTTTGAAACCTCCCAGGTTGCCAAGGTCTGGGGAGCAGAACAAACAGAAGCACAGGGGTAACCAGCACAGAGAATGTCACTTCAGGACAAGCTTCCAATTAGGAATGTTTTGGCTCATGGAATTCTAAGTCACTCCCTCAACAAGCCAATTCAGCCCCCGCTGGAACAGATTCAACCCACTGTGTGGAATCTGTGCAGGCACAGAAAATGCATCTTCTTATCACTGTCAGGAGCCCAGTCAATCATGGAATAATGGAATGGTTTGGGTTGGAAGGGACCTTAAAGTTCATCCAGTCCACGGGCAGGGACACCTTCCACTAGCCCAGGTTGCTCCAAGCCCCATCCAACCTGGCCTTGGGCACCTCCTGCATCCCCAGCCCTGGCTGGACTGGAGCTCCCCTCTGGGCTTTTTTGCTCACTGGACATCTACTTTTCCATCAATTTTTCCTCTTCCCTGTTTCTGGTATCACGCCCAAGCCACCCTTTTCCTTTCTGGAAGGTGTGTGTGGACAAGAGCTTCCCCCACACCCCAAGGAATTCCCGAGACTGTACAACCCTCCTGAGCAATGTCTCTGTGAGAGGGGTTTTTGGTTACCTTAACTCCACCTAGAAAAGCACTTCTATTCCTCCTTCCCTTTCCCTCCCTCTCATTTCTCTGGGATAAGCAACAGATCCCTCCTTTATCTCTCCTGCTGCCAAAACCAGTCTCAGGTCAGCAAAAATAGGAGCTGCAGCAAGAAAAAGCCAGGAAAGCTGAGTGAGAGAGATAAGAAGTTTGGTGAGAGTGCTCCAGGGAACTCTTTGAAGACTTGAGGAGCTCCTGTTGGGTGTTACCACCAAGGACAGATTGCACCTGACCTTGGTCTTGGATATTTGGGTGGAAAATCTGATAATGGCAATTTTGCTTCACAGCCTCCTGCGCCCTGTCACACACACCATCCAGGGTGGGAATCCCAGCATGGTTTGGGGTGAAAGGGACCTTAAAGCTCATCCAGTCCCACCCCCTGCCAGGGGCAGGGACACCTCCCACTAGCCCAGGCTGCTCCAAGCCCCGTCCAACCTGGCCTTGGACACTTCCAGGGATCCAGGGGCAGCCACAGCTTCTCTGGGCAACCTGTGCCAGGGCCTCCCCACCCTCACAGGGAAGGATATCATAGAATCATAGAATAGATTGGGTTGGAAAAGACCTCCAAGATCATCAAGTCCAACCCCTGATCCAACTCCAATTACTATATCATGGCACTAAGGGCCACGTCCAATCTCTTTTTAAAAACCTCTAGGGATGGTGAATCCACCACCTCTCTGGGTAGGCTGTTCCAATGCCTGATAACCCTCTCTGTAAAGAATTTCTTCCTAACATCTAACCTAAACCTCCCCTGGCAGAGCTTGAGCCCATGTCCCCTTGTCCTATTGTTGGTTGCCTGGGAGAAGAGACCAACCCCCACCTGGCTATAACCTCCCTTCAGGTAGTTGAAGAGAGTGATGAGGTCGCCTCTAAGCCTTCTCTTCTCCAGACTGAACAACCCCAGCTCTCTCAGCCTCTCCTCATAGGACTTGTGCTCCAGTCCCTTCACCAGCCTTGTTGCTCTTCTCTGGACCCGCTCCAGCACCTCAATATCCTTCCTGAACTGAGGGGCCCAGAGCTGAACACAATACTCCAGGTGTGGCCTCACCAACGCAGAGTACAGGGGAAGGATCACTTCCCTGCTCCTGCTGGCCACACTGTTCTTGATGCAGGCCAGGATGCCATTGGCCTTCTTGGCCACCTGGGCACACTGCTGGCTCATGTTCAGCCTCCTGTCGATCAGCACCCCCAGGTCCCTTTCCGCCTGGCTGCTCTCCAGCCACTCTGTGCCCAGCCTGTAGCGCTGCAGGGGGTTGTTGTGGCCAAAGTGCAGGACCCGGCACTATTTATCCCTAATATTCCATCTAATCCTGCCCTCTGGCAGTGTGAAGCCATTCCCCCTTGTCCTGTCACTCCAGATCCTTGTCCAAAGTCTCTCTACATCTTTCTTGTAGCCCCTTCAGGTCCTTGAAGGCCACGATTAGGTCACCTTGAAGCTTCTCTTTTCCAGGCTGAACAATCCCAATTTTCTGTCTTTTCTTATAGGAGAGGTGCTCCATCCCTCTGATCATCTTGGTGGCCTCCTCTGGACTCACTCCAACAGGTCCATGCCCTTCCTGTCCTGAAGAGCTGTCCCATCAAATGGATACCAGGCAGGAAAGAACAGAAGGATCTCCTCGGCTTGGCCAAGAAAACATAAGATGAGCTTTATGCTCATTAGGGTGAGAAAACGAGTTGAGAGGAGGAGGCTGGACCAGGGATGGGAGATGCTATGGATAAAGCAAGGTTCTCCTGCTTTGTGGCCAGGGTTAGAGTCAGGTTCCACCAAAGCAACAGTCCCTGTTTACTTGTGTTTGGGAAACAGCAGCTCCTCAGCAGCCAGAAGCAGCTCTGGCAGCTGCCCTAATTACACAGGGAGAGCAACCAACCCAACCCGGGTGTGACACAACACCTCCCTCCCTGCCCAGCCCGGGGAACTGCTCCCCCCCATCCCAGAAAACCTCTGGGTTACCCTCCCTGGGTGAGGGAAACCCCAGTGCCCCTCCTGCTTCCATCCCGCTGACTCCAACTTCCAGCGCCTCTTGTTTCAGGAGCCCCTTCTGGTTGGGACCTTCCTTACCTTGACAGGCCTCCAAAGGCACAGTCCTGGAACTGTGTCCAAGGACTGAGAGGGATTTTTGGGACAGATTGGAGCTGCAAGGCAGTTCTGGCTGGGAAATGCCATCTAGAGGCCAAAGGTGCTTTTGCTGTGGTTTGACTGCAGGTGATGCCGGTGCCAGATCCTTCCACTCCAGCACATCCCCATTCCCTCCCCACCTCCCTGAGGGAGGGCAGTGTTATCCCTGCTTCCAGGAGGACCAGCTGGCTGACCAGTGCAGACCAGAACAATAGGAACTGGCCCAAGCAACTGGCCAGGTCACTGCAACATCAAGGCCAAGGTTGGTAAAATGAACCCTTAGAGCAGCACATAAAAATTCCTAGGAAGAAAAGCCCAACATAAAAACTCTCCAAAAAAACAGCCAGGGGATAAAACAAAACCAATTTTATAGGATCAAGCTCACAGATGGAGGTTAAGGCTCACTGTGGTGGAAGTTGTGGCTGCTCCATCCCTGGAAGTGTCCAAGGCCAGGTTGGATGGAGATCGGAGCAACCTGGGACAGTGGAAGGTGTCCCTGCCCATGTGGTGGGACTGAATGGGCTTTAAGGTCCCTTCTAACCCCAAGAATTCTAGGATTCAATGATTCTGTGAGTGAGGGAGGTACTTCCCATAATTCTGAAATTTGAAACACCAAAACTCCCAGGAGTCAGGAATCAGCACGGAGGGAAATTCCAACTCTACCCTAAACCCTTCATTTAAGAGCAAACCAGAACTGGAGCACTTAGGAAGATTATAGGGTAGAGGACACTTAATACACATGTCAAACAAAATAGCTTGGGGATCTTTGCATTATATTCCATGTGGAAAAGAGGTTTTTTCATGGACTAAGTGGTCAAAGCAACAGAAATTACCATGACCAGCAATAAGAGGTCAGAGAAGATGAGCTTTGTGTGCTGCAGGATCATCCAGCTACTGTAGTTCCTGTGGGAAATGAGTTATGGGAAAAGAGTCCACAGCAAAGAGCTCTCCCCCCACCAAGGGAATCATCCAAATCCAAGTTGTGCTGAGATGGTCAGAAAGGGATCTGCCCTTTCAAAGATGGCACAGAAAACTAGGAAGTCATCTCTTTGTGATTTACTTGAGTTCTTCTTGGAACAGAAATAGGCTCCTGCAGGACCAAAGGAACAAAGAGAGGCCTTTCCTCAGGTTTCCTTCAGGAAGAAGCCAAATCACCCACTAATCACAGAGAGAAAACCAAATGAGCTGCAATGATTCCAGAGCTGGTGGCAGAACTGCTATTTGCCAGGAGCTTCTCCTGTCTAGAGCAAAGCCAAAGCCCAGAGGGGACCAGCCACGAGAAGGGTTTGGTTCCTCAGCTCTGAGAGGAGGTGGCTGATGTCACCACAGCAACAAAACATGGGGACAAGGGTGGAGAGGAGAGGAGGAATTGCTGATGGGCTGCCTCGGGACTGAAGAGGGCACAGCAGGGTGTTTATTCACAGTCCAGAGAGTTCAGCAGCTGGCTCGAAACAAGAAGTCACCTCAAAGAACTGTTAGAACAGCTCCTGTGTGAGGGTTTTTCAGCCCAGGTAGCGGCGAGGAGGAACTTGGGGGGGGGGAAACTCCCCGTTCCTGGGACTTGGTGACATTTCCTTCAGTGCCCACAGCAAGACATCACAAAAATCATGGAAAATCAAGCTGGAAGGAGTCCCTGCAGGGCTGCTCAGGCCCTGGCCCGGCGCAGGTGGGGGTAGCTCTGCAGGGTCCTGGCTATGGCCTCCTCCAGCCCCACCACAGGCCTGTACCCCATGTCCCTCTTGGCCCTCTCGCAGCTGTAGTAGTGGAATGTCCCAGCCAGGGCCACCCTCATGGGGGTGAAGGTGGCCTTGATGGTCACCAGGGGCCTGAGCAGCCCCAGCAGCAGGGCCAGCAGCAGGGCCAGGTAATAGGCCAGCCAGTAGGGGATGTGGTACTTGGGAGGGTCGTAGTCCAAGCCGGTCAAGATGCGGGACATGAAGGCCCAGAAGGGAACTGGCTCATCGTTGGTGATGTGAAAGGCCTGGAAGAGAAGGAGACGAGAAGCCAGGTGAGAAAAATCATCCTGGGCTTCACAAATTTGGCTCAGTGATGGCCCATCTCGTGCTCACCCCTGAGCTGGGCAGGAGCATATCTCTCAGGACATGCTGCTTGGCACTGACCACCTCTGGGTGAAGAGGGATGAGCCTCTTCTTTGCCAAGAAACAGCTCCTTCTGACACTCCAGAGGCTGAGATTCCTCATAAATGTCAAACAAACTGACTGACACAGCACAGAGCAAACACATTAAAGCACAAGTGGGGCCAGGAAAAGCTGTCCAGGTTTCTCCTGTTCTGAACTCTGGCCTAAAAGCCTCTGTGTTTCCATGTGTGCCCACAGTTGTGCCTGGATCTCCTTTCACGGGGGGTTTTACAGCATGAAATCCAAGCATGTTCATCCAGCTTAGCCGATGTTAGCTGGTTAAAACTTGGTGCTGACAACATCATGGGTGCCATCCCCTGGATGGGCTCTTCTCTTAAGAGCTGGACTCCATGATCCTTGTGGGTCCCTTCCAACTCGGAATTTTCTGGGATTCTGTGATGTGGTGGCACACAAGGGTCACCACATGGACAACCATTCATCGTACCCATGGCCAGACCTGACCCACTTGGGTGTGGAGCTCCTCTCATCTCCAGGAGGGATGGTCAGGACACAGAACTCAGGATCCCAGCTGGAAGTTTGGCTGGGGACACCCCCTCCCCTCCCATCCCAAGGTTCTTTCTCACCTTCCCACACAGGGGAGAGCCTTTCTGCAGCTTTTCCGCAGCCAGGATGTGCCCATGGACCACGTTTTCCACGTAGGTGAAGTCCACCAGGTTCTTTCCATCCCTGGAAACACAAACAGAAGGAATTTTAGCCCTAAGGCACATTGGGCTGAAAAGCTGCTCGTGGCAAAAGGAAGGACTTTCACCCAGGAAAGATTTCTCCCAAGTTTCTTTATTTATCTTTTCCCACTCTTTTGTGCTGCAATTTCAGGCCAGGGGGGTGGAATCACCACATATTATTTTGGAGACAAAGGAAAGGAAACTTTGTCACTGCCCTCAAAGTTTACATTCCTGGAACAGCATCAGTTTGAAACTTCCCAGGTTGCCAAGATCCCCCAGGTCTGGGGAGCAGAACAAACAGAAGCACAGGGGTAACCAGCACAGAGAATGTCACTTCAGGACAAGCTTCCAATTAGGAATGTTTTGGCTCATGGAATTCTAAGTCACTCCCTCAACAAGCCAATTCAGCCCCCACTGGAACAGATTCAACCCACTGCGTGGAATCTTATTTTGAGGCAGGTACAGAAAATGCATCTGCTCAGAGTCCAATTAATCATGGAATGGTTTGGGTTGGAAGGGACCTTAAAGCTCATCCAGTCCATGGGCAAGGACACCTTCCAGTAGCCCAGGCTGCTCCAAGCCCTGTCCAACCTGGCCTTGAACAATTCCAGGGATGGGGCAGCCACAGCTTCTCTGGGCAACCTGTGCCAGGGCCTCCCCACCCTCCCAGGGAAGGATTTCTCCCCAGTATTCCCTCTAACCCTCCTGTTTCAGTTTGAAATCAAACCAACCAAAATAAATCAACCCATCCCCACCATCACTTGGTCATAAAACCAGGATTGCTGCAGCCCAAACCTGGAGTTTGGGCGGGTTTGCTGCTCACAGATCAACGTGAGAGATCAATTCAGGAGTGAGCTGGGAGAATAAGAACCAAAAAAAACCCCTAAATCAAAAAACCAACAGCCAAAACCCCATCAAATTATTCTCTTCCTTCCTTCTACCCCAAGACCATGTGCACATACACACCTGAACCACACCTAAACCACACCTAAAAACACACCTAAACCACGCCTAAAGTGCACCTAAAGACACACCTAAAGCACACTTAAAACATGCCTAAAAACATGCCTAAAACTTGTCTAAACCGCACCTAAACTCACACTTAAATCCACACCTAAAACCTGCCTAAAACACACCTAAAACCACACCTAAAACACATCTAAAACCAAACCTAAAACGAAACCTAAAACACATGTAAAGCACACCTAAAACACACCTAAATCCACGCCTAAAACATACCTAAAACCACACCTAAAACCACACCTAAACCACTCCTAAAACCCGCCTGAAACCACGCCTGAAACCTGCCTAAAACACACCCAAAACCATACCTAAAACCAAACCTAAAGCACATCTAAATCACACCTAAAACACGCCTAAATCCACATCTAAAACATACCTAAAGCACGCCTAAAACCACGCCTAAAACTATGCCTGAAACCACGCCTGAAACCACGCCTAAAACACGCCTGAAACCTGCCTAAAACACGCCTGAAACCTGCCTAAAACACGCCTGAAACCATACCTAAACCCAAACCTAAAGCACACCTAAATCACACCTAAAATACACCTAAATCCACATCTAAAACATGCCTGAAACCACGCCCAAAACATGCCTGAAACCACGCCCAAAACATGCCTGAAACCACGCCCAAAACACGCCTGAAACCACGCCCAAAACACGCCTGAAACCACGCCCAAAACATACCTGAAACCATACCTAAAACCAAACCTAAAGCCCACTTAAATCACACCTAAAATACACCTAAATTCACATCTAAAACATACCTAAACCACGCCTAAAGCACTCCTAAAACCATGCCTGAAGCCACGCCTAAAGCACACCTGAAACCACACCCAAACCACGCCTAAAACCTGCCTAAAATCACGCCTGAAACCACGCCTAAACCATGCCTAAACCCACGCCTAAAAACACACCAAAAGCCACGCCTAAAACCACACAAACCAGGTCCCCGCATGGAGTAAAAATCCACTCTTAATGAAATCCCTTCTTAATTAAAAAGCACATTTCCAGAGCAAACCAACCTCAACTACCTCTTGCTCTAAACCTCCAGCGCTCCACTGGAAGCTCTGCAAGGGGCTCAGTAACAAGGCGACTCTCTTTGATCCCACCACCAGAAATAGTCAAATACTTGTAGGATTTAACAGGTTATTTAATTGCCAGAACCTCCCACACCAAAAGTGTGCATTAATTAAATTCCTGTAAGTCATCTGAGCTTTCACATCTGATGGCACAGCTCTTTAGAGAGCTAAAGCCATGCCAGCTTCCCTCAGGGATATTCCTTTGGCATTGGGAACACTCACCACTTGAGGGGATGGACCCCTGACAAAGGAGGATTTTTAAAGAAAGAAGTGAAAAAAAATTTGATATTTTAAAAATTAATATTAAATATTTCATTAATAAAAATAATTCATATTAATAATATTTAATATTAACCAATAACCATAATTATATATTATATTAATAGTGTATATATTCTATAATAATACATAGTATATATTATTAAACATAATAATATATTTAAAAATTATTAATAACTAATAGTTTAAAACAATTGCTACTTAAGTACATTTAATAATAAATATATTTAATAATAAATATATTTAAATATAAATTTAAATCAATTTATTAAATATATTTATTTAATAAATATTTATATTATAAATAATATTAATATAATAATTTACAATAATTTATAATAACAAATAAACGATAATATATATTTATTAAATATATTTAATAAATATGTGATAATATATTTAATAATATATTTAATAATAATTTATTATCATAATATTAATGTAATTTATATTATTTATGATCAGCCATAAGATATTATTAATTACAGTAATGAAAATAATAAAATTATATTTTTAAATTAATAGCAAAAGCGGGAAAAAATGAATATTATGCCCTCTCAAAAGGGCTTTTTGTAGGTTTTATCACAGCAATAAAATGCCTGAGCTTTGCTCACCCGATGATGAACTTCATTTTGCCCCTCTTGGCTGCCTGGATGAGGATGGGAACCAGCTGAGGGTCTCTGGGACCGAATATTCCGTGGGGCCGAATGGCAACGGTGAGGAAATTGTTGTCTGGGTCGTTTGCACTGAGCACTTCCTGCAGGGAAAGAAGAGAATCCAAACAGGAGAAAGGCTGGGAAGGAAAATTCCAAGCTCCTCACTCAGTGATCTGGGCTCCCATCCCCTTGGGAAGACACCAGTGGATGAATTATTACCCCTTCTCATCTTTACAAACGATCCTTCCTTTGTTCCCAGCTCTACAAATGATCCTTCCTTTGTTCCCAGCTCCACAAATGATCCTTCATTTGTTTCCAGCTCTTCTCCCACTTATCTTTAAGGAGAAAAACCCGACAAGAACCAGTTGGACACTTCAGGAATTGCCAGGCAAAGGAAGGGAACCCTTTGCTTCTCCCATTTAACACCATAAACCCCAGAGGTTTTTCAAGTTCCTTCGCTCCATGAACTCCTTGTGCTGGAGAAGAGGAGGACACTCAGCAATTCCACCTCTGTCCCTCCCATCAGCCATTCCCACCCCAAATCTCCTGGATCTCCTTCAGGAGGGGCTGATCCCACCTCTCTGGCAGCACCAAGAGCTGAGCACGTCCAGCAAAGGACTGAATTCCCTTGGGAGCTTCCAACCAACACGTCCTCCTCGTTCCCAACAGCTGCTGGGATTTCTGGGAAACCCCAGGATCGAGGCACAGCCAAAACCACACGGAATACTTTGCATTTCACCCCAAACCGAGCCAGAATTACACTGCACTTGATTGCTGCTCCCCAGCTCTCCCTTCCTCGGCGCAGAGTGGTCGTGCTTGTGAAAGCACAGATGCTTTTACAATTCAAATTAATTCAGCTCTTTTTGAGAGAAACCCTCGAAGGTCTCAGGGACACGCTGGCAGCACCAGCACAGAAGCAACTCTGAATTCTGCCTGCACAACAAGCCCAGATTCTTTCCACAGTTGAAAGGCCAAGCCATGGGAAAAGGCTCAACACCAGGTTTGATCCCGTTGGTTTAAAACATTGCTGCACCATATTTAAACCCCAAATGCTGCAGCAAAAAGAACAGGGAATACAACAGATATTGGGGATGTGCAAACACGCAGAGCAGTGAACTTTCAGATGCAGGGGCAGTTTTGAGGTGGTTTTGAACAATAATATTTCAGTATATGGCCAAGAGCATTGGTTGACAACACTTTGTTTGGCTGGTGTGCTCCTCAGCTCAGCCCACATTCCCATCTTTTCCTTCCCCAGGGCCTTGTTCACAATCCCAACTATAAACTCAGGCTGCAAATCAGGAAAATGGGGTTCTGAAACAGCCTCCCAGAGCAGAGGAGACAAAAAACTCCCCTCAGCTGCTCTTAAACCAAAGCTTAAAGCTAAGAAGTGGCATTTTCATGCCATGGAAGTGACACCTCTGCCAGCTCTGAGCCAACTTGTGTGGTGTCAGACACTATTTCATTCAACTTCAGGGGTAATTTATGGCACAACATGATTTTAGTCTCTTATTATTAAGTTAATACATCGAAAAATAACAATTTAACCACAAGATACAATGGCAAATACCTTCTCCTGGAGGATCTTGGTCTCTGTGTAGTAGTCAATAGGTTTCTGTGCATAAGGGAGGTCTTCTGATCCATTTTTTATGTCTGTGCCCTCAAAAACTACACTGGCACTGCTGGTTAACACCAGTTTCTGCAAAGGATGGCAGAGAAAACAGTTGTTTGAAGCCTAAGACAGAAGGGTTATCGTTTATGAAGGCTGAGTAAAGACAATAATAATGTTTAATCAACTGATCCTACAGAGAATGAACTGAGTCTAGAAGAACAAGACCAAGAGAAAATGAGCTCAAACTGCAGGTGTGGCTCTGTCACAGGGTTTTGTGCCACCTAAAGGACATCAAAACACCTCAACAAACACCCCAGGCAGGGGAAAACATCCCCAGGGAAATCAGAGTGAAAAGGAACACTGTAAAACTTAACACAAATTAGTGGGTTTGGGATGGATTTGCTCATCTTCACAGTAACAGGATCACAGGAGACTGAACCAAAAAAGAGAAATCTTGGATGTTTTTGCTGGATAAAAATGTAGCCAAGTGGATTCAAAGCTCTCAGCAATCAGAGACATGTGGTCCTGGAGAAAATGGACATTGTCAGAAACAGATGGTTGGATCCAACAGGTTCTGCTCCCATAGAATCCAGACACAGCCTGGAGGGAAACAGCACGTGGCCCATCTCCTTATGACACCAGAGGGAAAGAAAAACCCCCCAACCAACCCCAGCTGTGAGAGGCAGAAATTCTGAACGTGATCCCTTCTGGATTTGTCCATGGACACTGCACTAAACCCTCTGGAGTTGCACCACTGCCTGGGATAACGGGATCTTCACATGTGCTGGGCTGGCAGATTTGCTGAGAATTGAAAACTCCTGTGGTATCAAAAGACCACCAGGAGGAAATTCAGCTTGCGATTTGAGGCTGCTCAACAGCAGCTTCCTGCTTTCCTCAGGCTCTTTCCTTTGAGGGCAACTGATTTTCTAAACCAAATTACACCGAGACTGTGGCCCAAGTGTGTTCCCTCTCATTACACGGCAAAGAATTCAGACAGGGAATACATGCCATGGATATTCCCACTGCTGGAAAAGCCACCTTTGGAGCTGTCCCATGAAAGAAGCCACTTGCCAGCTGTGGTTCTCCCCTGGGTGATTCCCAGGAACCTGGCAGGACAGATTTGAATGGATGCTTTTCCTGCAGTCAGGAAGACTGCAACGTGCAGGTTTTCTGTGGCAAACATGGATTGAGTTTCCATCCAACACTAAGCAGGAGTGTGTCTCCCACTAGTTTTCATGGAACAAGTAGGAATTGATTATCTCAGAGCCCTAAACTGGACAGAAATTGGTTCACAGTGCAAGTGTTATAAAGTCCACTCCAGTGCCCACGTGCTTTTCCAGCCTTACCTGCACTCCAGCTTCTTTGCAGGCCTCAATGACTGCTTTGGTTCCCATAAAATTCACCTTGTAAAACAGTTCCCTGTTGTCACTGGAAGGTGCTGGGGATGCACAGTGAAAGGCCATGGACACGCCTTGCAAAGCTGGGAGCAGAGCCTGGGAATGAAGCAACAGCCACAGTGCAGGAAAAAAAATTAATAAGAAGGAAATAAAAGACAGTTTTTTCATGGAAACACTCTGCGAAATTTCACTCATGTTCCCTCCATAAAGGTGGGCAGCTGGAATAGGATTTGCATGCAGGATTTTCACAGTGCCCTCTCCTGTTGCTGGGCAAACACACTCTACATCAACCCTTCTTTCCAGAGAAGAACCTGAGAACTCCTCCAGAGCTGGAGGCTTTTTAGGCTGAACTACTTGGAATATCATCAGTAGGTAGGAGACTCAGAACTCCCTGGAGCCAGGAGTTGGGACACTCAGGAAGCAGCAGTTTCCCAGTTCCCCAGGGCCCTGTTGGAGGTGACTGTCCCAAAGCCCTGAGCTGTGGTGTTCAGGCAGGTGGGGAGGTGTCTCTCACCTGGCTCACCCTCAGGAGGCCTCAGCCTGCCCTGACTGTTGGGAATAACGAGTTGTGCCGTTCTCATGGAACTGAGGAGAGCTGGGAGAGCCCCCCTGCAATTAGCACAGGGGCTGTAATTACACTGAGTGTCTAAACCAACAGTGATGCAAAGCTTCAGACAGAAATCAGGTCTGTTCTTTGCAGCTCCAAGAGATACCAGGGCTGTTCCTTTGAGATGATTCCATGGAGAAGTGCTGAGGCTTCACCCCAGGGAAAGGTTGGGGGGCACATCTGCAACCCCTTTTCCAACCTGTGCAGGGCCTCCAGGTGTGTCAGAGCTTTGGGAAAGGCTCAGTGTTGGAACCAACACCCGTTTAACCAGACCTCCTTTCCCAGAATGGGTCAGGTCAGAAGGAACCACGGTGGGTCATCTGGTGCCACCTCCCTGCTCCATCCCAGAGCACATGGATTGTGTCCAGATGGGTCTGGAATAACCTCAGCGAGGGAGACTCCACCCCCTCTCTGGTCTCTGTTCAGTGCTGGGTCACTGCCCAGCAAAGAAGTTCTTCCTCAGATCCAGGAAGAACTTCCTGGGCATCAGTTCCTGCCCATTCCTCTTGTGCCATTGCTGGGCCCCCCGAGCAGAGCCTGCTCCATCCTCTGCCCCCTCCCTGCAGCCCCTCCAGACATGGCTGAGGGCCCCTCTCAGGCTCTGCTCTGGAGGCTGAACAGCCCCAGCTCCCTCAGCCTTTGCTGCTCCCAGAGCTGCTCCATCCCTTGGGCATCTCCACAGCCTGCGCTGGCCCCGCTCCAGGAGCTCCCTGGCCCTGCTGTGCTGAGGAGCCTGAGCTGGGCCCAGCCCTGCAGATGTGCCTGCCCAGGGCTGGGCAGAGGGGCAGGATCACCTTCCTCAACCAGTGCTCTTCCAAATGCCCCCCAGGATCCCACTGGCCTCCTGTCACCCCGGGCTCGTTGCTGGCTCAGGGACCCTCAGGGCCCTCTCCCAGAGCTGCTCCCCAGCAGGTCCCCCCCAGCCTGTGCTGGTGCCCAGGGTTGTTCCTACCCAGCTGCAGGCCCTGCACTTGGCATTGCTGAATTCCAGACAGTTCTTCCCTGCCCATCTCCCCAAGCTTCTCCAAGTCCTCTGAGGGATCAGCCCCCTCCTGCGCCGACCCCGCTGGGGAGCCACCACCCCTTCCCCCAACCACTGATGAAGTGAATCAACCCAGCACTGAGCCCTGGGGACACCCCTAGTGCCAGGCTGTCCCTGTGGGTCTGTACCTCCTTGTCACAGAGGTCTCCCAGGAAGAACTTCACTCGGTCGCTCTCGAAGCTCTGCTGGATGTCGAAGACGTTGACGGAGTAACCCCTGTCCAGGAGCTGCTCCACCATGTGCCGCCCCAGGAACCCCGAACCCCCGATCACAGTGCACCTCCTGCCAGCCTGCAGAGAGACAGAGAGGGGAGGCAAACCCCCTTAACAACCACACACACCCCAAGGAAACCCACCCGAACTTCCCAGGATCTTAACGGGCTGGGATTCCGCAGCTCGACCGGAGGAGTCAAAATTCAGGCACCCAGAGACTCCTCCAGTGGTCATCACAGTGACTCAGGAGCTCAGACACACTGGCTGGATTTGGGAAGGGCTTGGCCTCACCCCCCTAACAAGAGGCCCAAAAGGACAGAAGGAAAAGAGGATTTGCTCCCACAACCCTGCCTGATGGCAAAGAGTTCGAAGGGAGCCAACAAAAAGGTGCAGAGACATTTCCAGATGTTTTATGATGTGCTGGGGCCCAGTTGAGGTCCCTGAGCTCTCCTAGGCTGTTGTTCCCTCATTCTGTGACCCTGCATTAAATACAAAAGGCTGGGATATGGAAAAAGTACCATTTTCCCCAGCTCAGAGAGGTTTTTGGGCCATAACTCTCAGGAGCACAATTGATTGAGCTGTTCTATCTCTTTACCTGAAGTTCTTAGTTATGAATTTCTGCCTTGTGAGGCATTTTCTCACTAATTCATAAGAAATTAGTGCAGGACCAGGGAATCTGGGATATTTAGGAAGCAAACAACCCAAAAAGCCACTTGGAAAGACTGTGAGCAAACTGTTGTGTCTCCACAGCCCTGCTGGGGTAGAATTCGTACCCTAAAATCAATGTATTCATGGGCAGCTTGGCTTGTTACACACCTTATACTGTGCAATATCAAATTAGAGAGAGTTTATATATAAATTATATATAAAATTATATTTAATTGTGGCTGACCCATCCCTGGAAGTGTCCAAGGCCAGGTTGGACAGGGCTTGGAACAACCTGGGAGAGTGGAAGGTATCCCTGGGTGGAACTGGATGGGCTTTAAGGTCCCTCCCAACCCAAACCAGGCTGGGATTTTATGATGATTCTGTGATTTCCTTCAGCCCCAGGGCACAGATGATTCAGAATATTCAAACTGAATACTTTTGTATCAGAGCCTGTGACACTCAGGCTCCTCCAAGCCAAGAAAGCACCCAGGTACAGGCAAGGATTGCCCTTTGGAGCCATTAGTTCTTCCTTTATCTTTTTAAGCTTTTTAAATCAATGGTCACAGGCACTAATTAACAGATTCCTGTCTGCTCACTCTGTAACTGGAGTGAGACCAAAGACCTCCCCAGCACAGAACATCCAAACCCCGAGTCTGAGGGAGCCTTTGGACAAAGAATGTTCTGTCCTGGCTGGAAACACATTTACTCCTTATTGTTGCTGCACAACTGCAGAGGTGGGGGTTTATCTATGGAGCTGGAGGGTATTTTAACCCCCTGGAACCACACAAAGACAAGGATTGTTCAGAAGTTTCTAAGTGTCACATCCTTAAAGAAAAGTTCTGCTGCAGAGAAATTCCAGGAGTTTCCCCAGTTACATCAAAGCAGAACCAGTTATTTAGGATGGGATATGCAAAGCAGGGTCTGATTAGGGTCTGGAGCATAAATCCTATGAGGAGGAGCTGGGGGGGCTCAGCCTGGAGCAAAGGAGGCTCAGGGGGGACCTTCTGGCTCTGCAACTCCCTGACAGGAGGGGGGGAACTGGAGGGGGGGAGGGGTCGGGCTCTGCTCCCAGGGAACAAGGGACAGGAGGGGAGGAAACGGCCTCCAGCTGTGCCAGGGGAGGGTCAGGTTGGATTTGGGGAAAATTTCTTCATGCAAAGGGTTGTCCAGCCCTGGCCCAGGTGTCCAGGGCAGGGGTGGAGTCCCCATCCCTGGAAATGTTCAGATGGAACATTTTTAGTGGTGACCGTGGCAGGATTTGGTCAAAGAGGGGACAGAAGCTGTTTCAGCTCCTCCTCAAAAGGCAGCAGCTCCATCCCATCATTATTTTTCCCTGCTTTTCCCCTGTATCCTTTCTCAGCAAGGTCCCTTGCACCACAAACCATTCTGGGATTCCACGATCCCGGTGTGTTCTTCCCGAAAACTGCCCCGAGCTGTGTGCCCCAAAGCTTTCCTGCAGCACAATGCTGCCCTCTGCCTCTGCACCTCAGAGCCACTGCAGAGGGTTCAAATCACCTCCAGAGCTCGTTTAGGAACCATAAAACCCTAGAAGGGTTTGGGTTGGGAGGGACCTTAAAGCTCATCCAGTTCCACCCCTTGACAGGGGCAGGGACACCTCCCACTAGCCCAGGTTGCTCCAACCTGGCCTTGGACACTTCCAGGGATGGGTCAGCCACAATTAAATATAATTTTATATATAAACTCTCTCTAATTTGATACTGCACAGTATAAAGTGTGTAACAAGCCAAGCTGCCCATGAATACATCGATTTTAGGGTACGAATTCTACCCCAGCAGGGCTGTGGAGACACAACAGTTTGCTCACAGTCTTTCCAAGTGGCTTTTTTTTGGTTGTTTGCTTCCTAAATATCCCAGATTCCCTGGTCCTGCACTAATTTCTTATGAATTAGTGAGAAAACGCCTCAAAAGGCAGAAATTCATAACTAAGAACCTCCGGTAAAGAGACAGAACAGCCCAATAAATTGTTAATAATAATAACTATAATGCTATAATTATTATATTATGGAATACAATATAAATTATATAATATATAATTATATTCGTTATAACGGTAATAATTAATAATTATCATTATTAATAATAATAAATAACTCCTGAGAGTTACTTCCCAAATCTTCTCTGTGTTAAGCAAAATGGTACTTTTTCCATATCCCAACCTTTTGTATTTAATGTAGGGATCACAAAACGAGGGAACAACAGTCTAGGAGAGCTCAGGGACCTCAACTGGGCCATAAAACATCTGGGAATGATCCTGAAAGAACTCAGTCTCCAGCACTGACAAAGCCACTGGGGGGGTTGGAGCATTTCTGGATCTTTTTGGAACCAACAGCAGCAAATTATTCTTTGGAAAACCCCATTACCCCCCCCAGAATTATCCCTAATGCGGGATCAGTCCCAGGATGTTCAGGAGTGTCCATGAGAAGGTGTTTTTTGCAGGACAAATCTTCTCAAAGCCCCTTTTGGGGGCTCAACTCACCGATCTGAGACGTGTGGCCATGGCTCAGGTGAGGCCTGTCCACCAGATTCCTGCAAAAAAGGAGGATATTTTCTTCTTCACAATAAAATCCCACGTTTCTGAATCCAGAAATCCAAGTTTGAACCTGTTATGCTGAAGAAAGATGAAAAAAGGGAGTTCATTCTCCTTGTTTTGCTAAAAAAAAAAAAAAAAAAAAGCCAATGGATGTGCTGGAGACAGAGACTTTCCCCACATCCCCCTGGACCTTCCCAAGTGCCTCCAGGACCTTTCCCACATTCCCAGAACCCTTCCCCATGGCCTCCAGGACACTCCCAGTGCCCCCAGGACCTTTCCAAAAACAGCAGGACCTTCCCCAGTGCCCTTTCCACAATCCCTAGGACCTTCCCCACATCCTCCAGGATCCTCCCCATGGCCTGCAGAACCTTCTCATCACCCCCAGGACCTTCCCCAAAGCCCCCCAAGACCTCCCCACAACCCCCAGGGCCCTCCCAACATCCCCCAGGATCTTTCCAAAAACACCAGGACCTTCCTCACGTCCCCCAGGACCATCCCCACAACCTTTCCACTGCCCCAGGACCTTTCCAGGAACACCAGGACCTTGCCCATGGCCTCCAGAACCCTCCACACATCCCCCAGGATGTCTCCCAGTCCCCCCCTGACCCTGCCCATCACCCCCAGGACATTCCCCACAGCCCCCAGGACATTCCCCACAGCCCCCAGGACCTTCCCACAACCCTGTGCCCTTCTACAGCTCCCAGGACCCTTCCCATTGTCCTTCAGGACCTTCACCAGAGCCTCCAGCTCCTTTCCCAAGGCCCTCATGTCCTGTCCACGGCCCCCATCCCCTCTCCACAGTCCCCAGAACTGTTCCCAGCGCTCCCAGGACCTTCCCACAGCCTCCAGGACCCTCCCTGTGTCCTCCAGGACCTCCCCACAGCCCCCACGACCCTCCCCACAGCCCCCATGTCCTCCCCACAGCCCCCCAGACCTTCCTCACATCCCCCAGGATCTCCCTCACTCCTGCTCCAACCTTCCCCATGGCCCTGAGGACCTTTCCACTACTCCCATCACGTTCCTACAGCCCCCAAGACCTTCCTCACATCACCCAGGACCCTCCCCATGCCCCCCAGGACCTTCCCCATGCCCCCCAGGACCTTCCCCATGCCCCCCAGGACCTTCATACTAATTCCAGGACCTTCCTCAAAGCCCCCAGGACCTTCCTCAAAGCCCCCAGGACCTTCCCACATCGCCCAGGACTCTCCCCATGTCCTCCAGGACCTTCCCCGCATCCCCCAAGACTTTCTCCGCATCCCCCAGGACCTTCCCCATGGCCCCCACGACCCTCTCCACGGCCCCCCTGTCCTTTCCCACGGCCCTCAGGACCTGTCCACTGCTCCCATCACCCTCCTATGGCCCCCAGGACCTTTCGCCCTGCTCCCAGGACCTTTCCCGGTGCCCCCAGGATCTTTCCCACATCCCCCCGGACCTTCCTCCCAACCCCCAGGAGCCTCCCCACGTGCTTTCCCCCGGCCCCCAGGACGCTCCCCACTGCCCCCATCCCCTTGCCGCAGCCCCTCCCCGTCCTTTCCACTTTCCCACGCCCTCCCCGCAGCCCCCAGACCCGTTCCCAGTATTCCCAATATTCCCAGTGCTCCCAGTCCCTCCCAGTGCCGCCCCCTCCCCTCTCACCGCCGCTGCCGCTCCTAGCGCTCCCCGGCCCCGCCCCTCACCTGCCCTCCACCAATCAGCACCGCCCCTCCGTTCAGACCCCGCCCACTCCCCGACCCCGCCCCTCCCCCTGGGCCGAGCATCGCGCCAGCCCGATGCCGCGCGCTGATTGGCCCGCCGCCTCCTCCCTCCGGCCAATCGCGCTGGGAGCAGGAGGAGCCTTTTCCCACGCGCTCATTCACTCCCCCTTGGCTCCGCCCCGACCGCGGCCAATTGGAGCGCGCGTTGCCGTGGCAACGGCGTGGGGGGCGGCAGCCAATGGGAGAACGCGGCATTGAGGCCGCCGGGAGTGAAGGCGGCGGGATGGTCAGTGGGGGGGTGAGGGAGGAGGGGGACCTCAGGGGTCCGTGAGGGGCTTTGAGGGAGCCCTGGAAGACCTGAGGGTGTCGTGAGGGGCTGTGACGGACCTGAGGGGGCCGTGAGGGGCTCAGGGGCCCTTGAGGGACCTGAGGGGGCCGTGAGGGACCTGAGAGGGCTGTAAGGGGGACTGAGGGGACTGTGAGAGGCCTGAGGGGCCGTGAGGGGACTGGGTTATAAAGGAATGCTTGGCGAGGCTTCCTGTCTGGATCAGTGTTAATGAGGGACATCACTCCTGGATCCCTCCTGTAGCACCGCTGGATAATGATAACAACTGTACGGAAACACTGCCGGGATGCTCCTGGACTGGGAGAGGACAGGGGGCATGGAATCCCACAGCCTTGGCTTAAGTCAGCAGCATCACAGAATCAAAGCCATCCCTCGTAGGAGACATATTTTGGGTGGCAGATTGTCCCCCTTGGAATGTCTTCTCCCAGATAACACGCTACCTGTGTGTGGAATCATTAAATGTTTTGGGTTGGAAGGGACCTTATAGCTCATCCAGTCCCACCCCCTGCCATGGGCAGGGACACCTCCCACCAGCCCAGGTTGCTCCAAGCCCCGTCCAACCTGGCCTTGGACACTTCCAGGGATGGGGCAGCCACAGCTTCTCTGGGATCTGAGGGGGCTGTGAGGGGGCCATGAGGGACTTGAGGGGGCTGTAAGGGGACCGTGAAGGATGTGAGGGGCTGAGGGGGCCATGACAGGGCTGTGATGGACCTGGGGGGCCATGAGGGGTCTGAAAGGGCTGTAAGGGGACCTAAGGGGACCGTGAGGGGCTGAGGGGGCTGTGAGGGGACCTGAGGAGTCCGTGAGAGAGGTGAGGGAGCTGTGAGGGACCTGAGGGGACTGAGGGAGTTGCGAGGGACTTGAGGGGGCTGTGATGGATCTGAGGGGGCCGTGAGGGGCTTGAGGGGGCTGTGAGGGACCTGAGGGGACCATGAGGGGTCTGAGGAG